GAGCTTATGAAAACCTTATTTTCCAGAGTATGTCTTGTATTTTTTACTTTACTTTTAAACACCTTTCTTGGAAAAACTATTTTGAATGATATTACTCCTTTTAGTTGTAAGTAATGTAATCCCTTTATTCAATTTTAGAAAGTTATTGAATGAATTATACTCAATAAACTAAGCGACTTCTTTCTTAAAGATAATAATTTAAATTACTTTTGGGTAAAAAAATCAATCATATTTAAAAATTATAGGTAAAACTGGATATCATTTTTTGGTGATATAAATGACTTATGGCATCTAAGAGTCATATAACATATATTTTATTAATAAAAATTGTGGCACATTTTAAGAATAGGGCTTAGAAAAATGTAGGCTACTCCCAAGTGTAGAAATAAATGGAGAGGATTCAAAGGGAACATACAAAGCCTATCTAGTCAGAGTTTACTATAGAAAGGAATCAGCGATAGAAGGGAATTTGTGTTTGGCCAAAACTCTAAGGCAGCCAAATGAGAATAAAAGCATTAAGGGGAAGGAAAGGGAAGGTTTCAGATATGCCCTCACTGGAGGCTGTTGGCATGGGAAACTGGAGGCTGGCTAGGTGTGGGGCACCCTATGAGACCGGAGAGTAGAGTATATTTTGCTTTCTTGTATTGATTGTCGGTTGGCAGTTGTGTTAGCTTTCTGTCAGTATAACGAACACCTGAGATAATCAACTTGGCAAGAGATACAGTTCATTTTGACTGACCGTTTTAGAGGTTTTAGTTCATAATGGCTTGGCCCTGTTGTACATGGAGCAGTAAAACTACTTAGATTGTGGTCTTTACAGGAAAGACAGGAAGAGAAAAGGACCAGGATAACACCATATGTGTAAGGCATACTCTTGGAGGTTTCAGCGCTTTGCGCTAGGTCTTATACTCTCTAAAGCTTCGCCACCTTCCCATACATAGCACTACTCTGGGGCTCATTAAACACATGGACTTTCGGGAGTCACTTCAGATGCAAACGGTAGCAGAAGTAAGGGCAAAGATTAGAAAAGCTCTGAGTCATCATTCCATCCCAGCTATTTATGAGCCAAGTGATGCAGAAATTATAATGTGGCTTCCTGGAGTGGTTCTGCAGATTGTGGACCAGAGTTCCACTGGTAGTCTAGTCTAGTAGTTTGCCTATAAACTCAGCCTATCTCAGGTAATTAAGAAAGGTCCATCAGGCTAAAAAAGTAACAATTCACAAGAACTATTTAAAAATTTAGGGTAACTGTTCAAATATCATATTGTAGCTATTTTTATTCTTTTGTAAGTGAAGTAAAAACATGGCTGATTTACCCTTTTTTTCCAGTGAAGAAAGATTCTGTACAACAGTCTTAAGGATGGAGTAGAAATCAATATTTGATTCAGCAAAATCATGAATTAATAAAATGACTTAATCGTAAAAGACTTTTCCTTTCTTCTGAGAAAGGATAAAATAAGACATTCACCCGTTTCAAGGGGGGGTGTAAGCACAGCATACTTTGACTTCCTTAGAAAGAAACTTCTATTTAATGGGAACAAGCAAAGGCCATTCTATAATATTTTTGCCACTTTACTTTGTTTCAATATTACTGATATATTTTTGCAAATTATAAATATATTTATTTTACAGTGCATAAATATCCTCTATATACTATCCTTTTATTGCTTGATTTAAAATATGTGTACTAAGAGCTGGGCATGGTGGCACATGCCTGTAATCCCATAGCACTCGGGAGGCTGAGGCAGGAGGATTGCTGTGAGTTTGAGACCAGCCTAGGCTACATAGTGAGTTCCAGGTCAGCCTCAACTACATAGTGAAACCCTGTCTCAAACAAACAAACAAAAAATGGTAGATCCAGTTTATTAAATAGAGCATTCTGATATTGTAAACAATAATTAATAAGTGATAAACAAAACAATAAAATGTCAATCTGCAAATGAACCTTGCCTGATTCTTGATGTTGATCTGACCCCCATCAATCAGTCAAGCTCATTTGGAAAATCAGGCAGTCGTTAATATCTTTATGCCTATGAGACAAGTGGCATGTCATGGATACTATAGAGTTCAAGGGGCCATGGTGAGGTGTGACCATCCTGATGGCAGAAACCAACAGCAAAAGGAAAATGCTCCTCCAATTGTTTCTACATAGGCTGCTATTTATTCCTCTTTGTGATAATGTGACATTTGGATTTTATCCTATCAGTGGCTCCAGAGAGGCACTGTATATACACACAACATTTACTCAATTGTATCTTTTAAGCTAGAAGAATATGCTAAATATGCTGTCTCTTAATGCTTTCATGAATATTTAGTTAGACAGTTTATCATTATAAACAACACCACTATCTGCCTTACCTTTGTAACCTCTCATTTTGACAACAAATAACTTCTCTCTGTGTAAATCATGAGCAATGACAAATGACAAGCTCATTCTGGCTATTCCATTGTGGGCGATCAATAATTAATGCTTGGAAAGTATAACTTTCTGGTGCGTTTTAAAGAGATTGCTGGGCTCTTGTTTTAGATAAAATTATTTCCATTTTGAGTGTGGCAAATTCACATTAAAGACACCACATATGTTCTTGGCATTAGCTCCCAACTCTGAACTTTTGCAGTAAATAGAGACAAGGTGTTAATTAAGAGAACTGCCAATCCAAATGAATAATGCAGTGTTGGAAATAGCCTGGGTAAGGTCTTGACCTTCTGCATCAAAGAGGTGTTCCAATGCTGATGTCTTAATTTTGGAACTATGAATAATGAGAATATGGGAGGAAAGAAAGGATAGTGAAATCTCCATTAAGCCATTCAGATACTCCTAATTGGTTTTTAATTAGTACCAGGCAATGTTTAATGAAAGGCTTTGCAGGAATATAAAATAGACAAAGGTCACAGTACATACCTGTGCTTTAACCTAAAAGAGGGCCAACAAAATATTCAATGAGAAAAGATATTTTATGGGGCCCTTCTTAAATAATCTGTATTAAACAACAGGATAAAAACACACTACTTCTGGTCAAGTTAATTCAGCTACCCTCAGCCCAGGGGAGAGAAAAGCAAGCGTTATGGGAGATGGTGTCCATGGTCAATGCAAGGGCCATGTTATGGCTTATGTATAGATGTCCCCCCAACATCTCATGTGCTCATGGGTGGGGCTTATTGGAGTGACTCAATCATGGGTGTGTAGTACTGGATTAGTTGATTGGTTTAGCATAGTTTTGGGTGTGGATGATGGATTTACTGAAGAGAGAAGACACACCTTGGGTGTGGGTGGCACCACCCCACAGGATTCCAACCTGGATGGGATACAAAGGAAAGAAGGAGGAGGCTCACTGTTTACTGCCTACCATGCCATTGACTGTTTCTCTTTTGCCACTTACTTTTGCTGTGCTGTCCTGTGTTGGAGCCAGCTGACTGTGAATCGAAACTACTACAAATTGTGATCCAAAGTAAACCTTTCTTCTTTTAACTCATAAGCCTTGGATATTTTGTCGCAGAAACAAAAAAGTAACTAAGACATATGGCTACCTAGGATTTAGGCAAGGAATGTAGGGAGGTCTGTTTACTTTGGCTACTGTTATGGCTTGTATTTAGATGTCCTTCCAAAGCCTCATGCAGTCATAGGTAGGGCTTTTACAGAGGCGGCTGGATCTACAGTGTGTGATGCTGGAATTGATTCATGGTGCAGTGCTAGGCTCCAGGGCACTAGGATTAAGGGTGCGAGTGCTGCCTACCCTAAGTAGTCTGGATAAGATAAAAGGGGTGGGAAAATGCTGTTTAGGTCCCTTGCTGCTTTTGCTACCTTTTGACTGCCATGAACAGTTTCTCCTTTTACCCTGCCTTGGAGCCAGCTGACTGTGGACTGAAACCTCTTCAAACTATGAGCTAAATAAACCTTTCTTTCATCCTTTAACTTTGGATGATAGGTATTTTGTTTCATCAAGGAGAAAAGTAACTAAGACAGCTAACTATACAGGGAACTCCAAATTTGTGACTTGACTGAGACAATTCTAGTCCCAATTCTGCCACCCCATCTCTCTGTACAAGGTCTCCTGTGTAACCCAGACTGGCTCCAACTTTAAGCAGTCCCCCTGCCTCAGCCTCTTGAGTGCTGAGATTATGGACATGCTTACTCAACAGCTGAACTGGGAAGTCTTCCTTGGCTATTAGGTTGCTCCTAATTGATAGAGTGATTCAGTCACTGTTGGTCAGGACATTGAATTCTAAACCTATGAGGTTGTGAAACCTGAATCATCATCTGTGAAGATTCTTCTGAAACTACCAAATACTTCAGACTATGACAACAAGATAGTTCATCGAGGTCAGTATTGCAAATGACTTAGTTGTGATAAGAAAGAAGTTTGGCTTTGGACAATTTGCCTTCTTCCCTGGGAAGGATCTAGGTTGAACAGAGGGAAATATTGTGAAAATGAAAGCTATTGTTTGAGCGGCAGATGTGAATAGGCACCATTGTAAGTTTATATTAAATCTTTGTGACTTTATGAGCTAAGTGCCTTTAGTGAATTCTATTTTCAGATGAGGAAACCAAGCAATGAAAGTTAAAGTAATTTCCTCAGTAACCGTATTCTAGTGCCAGGTATTAAGAATTAATCATGGCATTCAGGATGCCACAGGGTTGCATGCGATCACTTGTTTTCACCTGGGTTGCAGATACTGTGGCTTTGGTTTCTCCAGAGCAGTTTATTCAACTTAAGTCCTAGTCTGTGTCCAAGATCATAGAAACATCCAGTTGTCTCCACTCCACTGCAGCATACTTATATGGATAGAGTGAGAAACCCCGTACCAAGACTGTCAGAGTAGAAATATATTTATTGCAATGCGGAGGAAAACAGTACTTTATCGCCATCTTGGGTCCCAGGATAGGGATTTCCTAAGTGAACATCCTCTCACAAACTGGTTGCGTTACTCTGTTTTGTGTGGCTGAAACAGAATACCTGAGACAGAGTAATTTATAATGAACATATATGTGTTGCTTACAGTTCTGAAGGCTGGACATACCAAGATGGAAAGGGCTTGCATCTGATGAAGGCCGCCTTGTGGAGTCATCTCATGGAAAACAACAGAAGGTACAGAGAAAGGGGGAGAGGGAGAGGGAGAGAGGCAAAAGGGGATCAACTTACTTTTTATAAGTCTTGCCAAGATGACATGTATCGATCCATGAGGGCAGTGCCCCCATAACCCGCATCCTCCAAATTCTTTTTACACTGGGTCCATATTGAAGTTCCAACTTCTAACACAGGAGCTCTGCGAGACCCATTTAAATCATAGAAGTTGTCATCGGAAATCAAGGCAGTGGGCAGTCGTTTGTCTGAGTCCACATAATTTAACCTTGTAACGAGCTCAATTTGGGTTTAGGTTCTCACCAGAAAAGAAAAATTTCTGGACCTTAGGTAATGACCAGGGATTAGTAAGTTTGTTGTCTATTTTCCTTATTTCTGTGTCAAAATGTCCAAGCACTTAACTGTACATCTTCCCCAAAGGTGTCCTAAGAACTCGGTGACACACTTCTCCACGGGTTTTAATATCTATGTTTTATAACTATGGTAGGGTTGCCAGATAAAAATAAGATAACCAGTTAATTTCAAAGAAATTTAAATTTAAATGGGCATTATATATTCTTGTATGCTGTATCTGGCAATGGTGTTCTGTAGTTAACTCATTAGTTGTGAGGGGAGGGATAAACTGTGTCTTATGGACTCTAGAATCTTGTGTAGTATAAATTGGTTTAATAACACTAGAGTTAAAATATCTCTGTGGCTAGCATCCATGGATGAGGGTAAAGTTTTCTCTAACTTATTTTTTATAAATTATATATTATAAAACAATTTTGAGAACATAGTGCTAAGTAAAATAAATCGGACACAGAAGGTTAAAAATTTCATGATTTCTTTAATGTAAGAAACTCAAAGTATAGGTAATTTAATGGGCAAAATAAAAGATGATAGGAAAATGAGAGATAGATTTTAAGGACATAAAACAGGACTGGAGATGGGAGGAGACACAAGAGAGGAGAGGGAAAGGGGAAGCAAAAAGGATCACGATGTGGATATATTTATTATGAATCACAAAATACACTAGTAAAAAGGGAAAGACTAATTTTATTCGGAGTTTTATTATAAATATATTTAGCATTAATCTAAAGTATCATTGCTTGTCTTTCTCCCAACATAAGATCATTGCTTAAAAGTTTTTATGAAGTTTCTGTACAAGTTACAATTATGATATTCTATAAAGATGAATTGTTTTGAGGACCAAAATTTTAAACTTTTATTTTCCTTAGAAATCATTCTGAAATGTATTTAACACTGTCTGTTCTACTGCAAGGTAATATACTCAATATGAATGAGTTCCTGTGGAAAGACCAATGTTTCAATTATCATTATAAATTCTTTTGGCCTTTACTATGTAATATACATAGAAGTCTACTGATGCATGTAAGACTACTTCTCCCTCTGTAAATGTCTCACTTGTGACTGTCTGAATGCTACTTTCTGCTGTCCACAATATACCCCCAGGAGACATATCTCATCAACTATTGAACCTTAATTTATGGAGAGTTGTGCAGGTGAGGAACTGAGAGAAGATCATTTATGGGCTCAAGTGTGTTTGCTTTATGCCAGTGATTTTTCATGTAGTTCATTCCAAGGCCTGCTTGTGCTTCTGGGCCTATGCTTTGTCCTTTATACAGCAGGTGCACAACATTTATGTTCAATGCAGCTCTATATTTGTCAGTATTACTTTCCAAGATGTGTTCTATGCAGAGCAGCAGTTCTGTAACATATCAATAGGTGCCTCAAGAAAAACTCCCATGATTGAAAAGTTTGGGAGGGAATGGACTAAAAGAAGTTAAACCTATAAAAAGTTAAAATTGCTTTTTTCATATGCTTTCATGGATTGCAAAGCCCCAGGTATTTAACATGCTACATAGCACATTTTGATCTTATATATGAATAAAAGCACTTTGGTGGAAGCTCTCACTGGACACATTGTGAAATTGTTAAAAACTAGTAAACTATTTATAATCAGGAAGCTGTAGTAATAATAATACCTAACACATGTGTTTATCAACTCCTATTCATTTTTGTAGGCCTTTTTGTGGTACTGGTACCTTAGCTTTATGTATTAGATAGTAATTTCCTTGCTAGTCAGATTGAGAGTAGCAACAGATTAAATTCCATAGATCAGCTCTCTTCCTATCCCAGTCCAGTCTACTCTTGGTAATATTAAATTTCTTTCATTAACAGGGTCAACATAGTTGTCACCAAAGTCTTTTCTGACTACTTGCTAGGTATAACTCTTAGTCACCTAGCATCTGGTCTACCCTTTCAGCCCTACGTATACTGACTAGTATCGATTGTTTTGCTCATAAGTATATGCTTTATCTTTGTGGCTTTGAGAATTCTACCATGTGTAGTATTTCTTTTGCTTTTCCACTGTGTATATTCTGATAACTTGATTATCAGTTGTTCAGTAAATAATTAAATGACGGGTTCACAAAAAGATTTTAGGACAGTGGTCAGAGAATTACCCTTCTTTGAGCAGCTCTTGTGTGCTAGGTGTCAAGGCAAATAAATTATAAGCTAGTCCTCAACATAATTCCATAAATATATTTTCTTATTCTTTTGGAGAAACTGAATCTTAGTCAGATTTCCCCCCAAATCATATGGCTGAATGTTTGTTTTTTTTTTTTTTTCCTATACTGGGGATCGAATTCAGGATCTTGAATTTTCAAGATTAGCATCCCCCAAGTCATATGGTGAGTAAATGACAGAGGTGAGATTTGAGTCCACGTCTGACTCTACCATAATGTAGAAATTTATTAAATTTTAAAGGTTCCATGATACTATATAGAAAAGTTCTTTTAAAAATACTGCATATTCTTATGCTTCTAGGATTGTTTAAGTATTCAGTTTCTAGAAGGAGAAAGAACTATATAATCTTCAAGACTCCATAAACTTTAGAGCCTGAGTTTAATGGGTAATGCTGAACATTTTTATTTTTCTTAGACAAAAATTACTGTAAAAAGGTCTGATTTGGAATAGTGACATAATTGAAGTTTTAAAATACATTTTATTTCTTTTTACAATATTAGCAACTTTGGATCTGTTATGATAATCTGACTAGTAGATGCAGATTTCACAGTACCTAAGAATGATTTTCCTTTGTTATTACAATATATTTACATTGCCTTGCACTTCACCTTTGATTGTCATCATGATTCAGGAAAACCTTGATATGTAAATGTAATAATCAACATAATTCATGTAGCTATAATTTTAAAGAACAAAGAAATCACCCTGATATACTTGGAATAAGTACTTAAAGGAGGTGGGACTTGGGATTTGTCTTCACATTGCTACAACGTTTATGTGTAGGTCTGGAAACCCCTTCAATCTCTCTAAAGGTGTTTTTCAGTTATAAATTGGTAGGGTTGGAATAAGTGACCTACAAGGTCCTTCCAATTTTAAGGGTACTGATTATCATAATGAGGGAATCCTGCAGAACAAACACTATGCTAAAGAGGGTTTACATCATCTGATCTGTGTTGCCGGAAACTGGCACTAGCCTTTAAATCACTAATAAATCAGAGAGCATAGCTGCAATGTGTGAAATGAAGTGATCTTTGCTCTTAATTTTTGGGTGCACTTCTAACTCCTTGAGGTGGTTTAAATGGCTGTGGGTGCCCTAATGCTGCACAAAGCTCTCGTCTCTCTAATCATTATGAAACCGTCACAGATGTGCACTGAAAGGATTTTTCCATGGAAGTTGGAAAATAAAAGCTGTAAATGCCTTCCAGCTGGAGTGCTTCAATTTTCTTCATCTCATTGGAGACATGTTCAGGTTAATTTCAGTTGATGACTGATCACTCATCCGAATGTTACTCAAGATAATGTGAAACAATTTTTCTCTCTTAGTGATGAACTCAGACGAGAGAGTGATTATTGAAAAACAAATAACTAATGTTCCCCAATTGAAAAAAAATGATATTGTTACAAAAATACAAAACTAAATTATATCATCTTTTAAACGGAAGAAAAAGACTCAAGGTTAGAATGTAAAAAGCATGAGGCTAATTAAACACATGCATCTGGCATACATTCCAGTTAGGTACTGAGGAAGTTAACACCTTCACGTCTAGTTAGTTCCGGCCACACCATTTACATCCTGCTGTTCTTAAAATGATGAAAACAAATGGACTTCCTGCAATTACTAAACGCCAGACATAAGCCATATGGCAACAAGGCAACATGAAATAAAAAAATAATAACAGCTATCTCAATAACAGTTACCTCAAGTTAACATACTTGATAGCTCAATACATGCAATCTATTGCATATTGTCTTAATTTCTTTCAGTATCTAGTCTAGTCCTAGCCTTGCTTTTGGCTGCATTTCAGCTGTGTAATGTGAATGTAAAAAGAGGCAAAGAGCATGATAACAATCTCATGTATTCTAAAATCTACATTCTTTACTTGGAATGATTTTCTTCTTTAACTGATAGCCACTCCCTTCATGTATAAAAAAATTCCAGAAAGAAAAACATAAAGAGTGATGATAAGCTAGTCATACAAATGCATATACCCAGGTACATAAAATATGAGGTGATTTTGTAAAAACAAAGATAAAGATAACGGAATCATAGAATGTTAAAGCTGGAAAATATCTCAGAGCTTTTTAGACTCATTCTCTTAAGAAGAGGAATTGAGGCAGAACTGGATGAATTAACTTGCCTTAGTGCATATGGGAGTATTGATAGAAATGATTCTAAAACATAGATCCACAGGCTTCCATTCCAGTGCTTTTATAATATCTGTTTCTTAATGTTTACAGAGCTAAAATGGTATCTCAAAAATTAAATTATGATGGTTGGCTGAGAAATTGGTTTAGTATGCAACAGATAAGCAGAAGCAGGGTCTGGAAATTAAAAAGAAAAGCTTTCTGGGTTGTAGGGGTTTGGCTCAGTGGTTCTGCTGCCTGTCTTGCCAAGTGCAAGGTCCTGAGTTCAATCCCTGGTACCCCCGCCCCACAAAAGAAAACTAAGATGAGGGGAAAGTAGAGGGAAGGAA